CCTCCTCTCCCACGCGCTTCCCGGCCGCGCCGCCCCGGGCACGGGGCATCTGCGCCGCGTCTCTACCTCACGCACCCTCCTTCTCCTCCTCGACCTCCTCCTCCTCCTCGACCTCCTCCTCCTCGACCTCCTTCTCCTCCTCCTCCTCCTCCTCCTCCTCCTCCTCCTCCTCCTCGACCTCATCCTCCTCGACCTCCTCCTCCTCCTCGACCTCCTCCTCCTCCTCCTCGACCTCCTCCTCCTCCTCCTCGACCTCCTCCTCCTCCTCTCGACCCTCCTCCTCCTCCTCCTCCTCCTCCTCGACCTCCTCCTCCTCCTCCTCGACCTCCTCCTGGCACACTGGACGCGCACCAGGAAACCAGGCGTGGAGCAAACAGGTCGGCAGGAAACGGGCCCTGGACCACAGGGCTTCCCTGAGGCGAAGCCAGGACGAGGATAATACATCGGGGGAGGATAGATCGAGAATCTCTGGGATCCGGCGGCTCTGGAAAATGTCTGGGGATGCCTCGGGCGCCGAGGCCTTCCCGGCGCGATCCGGAAGGCCCTGAGAGCGTTCCAGGACGCTCTGGGACAGAGTTGTCGTCGTTCTAGCCGCTGGCCCCGCCCGACTTCCCCCAAGACCAGCTTTTCACCTGTGGGCGAATCATCCTCCTCCTCCTCCTCCTCCTCCTCCTCCCTCCCCTCCCTCCTCCTCCTCCTCCTCTCTCCTCCTCCTCCCTCCTCCTCCTCCTCCTCCTGTTTGTCCTCCTCCTCCTCCCCCTCCTCCTCCTCCTCCTCCGCCTCCTCCTCCTCCTCCTCCTCCTCCTCCTCCTCCTCCCCTCCCCCTCCTCCTCCCCCGGGACTGCGCCGGAGCGCGCGGGGTTTCTTGACGGTCCTGGGGCTCCGGGGGGCGAACGCGGTGCACGGCCGGCAGGGCCCGGGGCCCGGCGGCGAGGGCCTTGGAGGCGCAGATGGAGAAGAGGCCAGGAAGAGGAGGAAGAGGGGGAGGGTAAGGAAGTATAGGGGGCGAAGAGGAGGAGGAGGAGGAGGAGGAGGAGGAGGAGGAGGAGGAGGAGGAGGAGGAGGAGCAGGATGATGGGAAAAAGATGGACACTTGCACGTGTGCCTCCAGCTTTGCACGCGTTCGGGGACCGTTGGAAATCCACAGGACCTGTTTGCAAAGTAAACGCAATGGAAAACATCATGTCACTTAAACGCACGGAGGCACCTTAGGAGACCGCCACAAAATGTGCTGAGCACCGTTGGGGACACATGCCGATGGTTTCGGTGTGAATCCGGTCGAGCCAACACAGTTTCAGATTTTGACGCCGGTTGGATCAGAGAAAGCCATTGGGAGAGCGCCTCACGAGGTTGCCCTGACTGATCGACCCCTGGGTCGCAGTTTCTACTGTGAGCTGACGCGAACCAACGTCCCATAGGTTACCAACTATCACCTGGCAACGCCCATCCCTTGTGCTTGGGCTGAACCTGCTCGAAAATATCAAGACTCCGCGTGCGGCTTGCGTTAACTGCGATCTGTGCTGGGGCACGTCTAGATCGGCAACCATATACTATATCATGTGGATCTGCCCAGGCGTCCAGCATATCACTCTCCACTGTGCCGTGTCCCGGATGAGACGCAAAGTGAAGGGCCGTGGTGCCAATGCGATGCTTCTCATTCATGCCTCTACCCATCCAAGCCAAGACGTATACGATTTCAGAATGGAAGCTCTCGGCAGCCAGCGATGGCGGACTCCTTTGAGCAAATCATGTCAAGATCTGTTTTATACTCAAGGCCAAGACGCCCCAAGAGGACCCCGAGAGCTGCCCGTGAGGGCCTCCGAGGCCCCCGGGAAGGGCCCCGTGAGGGGGAGACTCGAGCTGCCAGTGGAGGCGTCCGCCCCAGGATTGCCCACGAGGCAGCTACAGCAGGCCCGCAAGAGGCCTCCAGAGAGGTCCCCGAGAGGCCCCAAGCAGGGCCCCGAGAAGGGCCCCAGAGAGGCCATCGAGAGGCCCCCTCAGAGACCCCCAGGGCGGCATCCAAGAGGCATCCAAGAGGCCTGTTGCCCACCACCCAAGCGAGGTCGCGGGACGGGCCGAAGGCCACTAGGGATGGAAATCCCACCAGCCATCTGGGCGTAGGTGGCGGAGGGTAATTACGAGCTCGTCCGATCCCCCTCTTCCCCTGCGGAGAGGGGTTCCACCATTGCTCCTTATATACATATATATATATATATATATATATATATATATACATACACACTTTTTTAAAAGCATACACATGTTTTTTAAAAGCGCCCTCCCAAACGAGTGGCCGCCCCCACCTCGGGGGGGTCTGGGCCCCCCACCCGCGAGTGATGGGAGCGTCCGAGATGGTCCTGGATGGCTCCATCAACTCCTCCTCCTCCTCCTCCTCCTCCTCCTCCTCCTCCTCCTCCTCCTCCTCCTCCTCCTCTTTCTCCTCCTCTCCTCCTTCCTCCTCCTCCTCCTCCTCCTCCTCCTCCTCCTCCTTTCTCCTCCTCCCCCTCCTCCCCCTCCTCCTCCTCCTCCTCCTCCTCCTCCTCCTCCTCCTCCTCCTGCTCCTCCCCAGCAGAGTCAGCAAGCACAAGACGAAGCCCCCCAACCGCCAACCCCGTGCTGCCCGCGGGGCCCGAGCGCGGTGGCTGCCCCGCCAAGCGGCGCGCGTGATCGCCAACTCTGGACAGTGGGCAGTGGGCCCATCTGCTCACTCAACTGGTCGCCCGACCCATCGACGTTGACATCAGCATCCCTGACTCCGGATCCGCCCTACTTTGGGGAAATTCGTAAGTAGGGCTTGGAATTTCCGCCTTACTTTTCGAGCCCCGCTGATGCCAATTTCCGCCCTACTTTTCTGTTGCTGTTTCTGTGGATTTCCGCCCTATTTTATGTTGGGTGCAGCAATTTCCGCCCTACTTTTTCGGCCTCTTATAGGTGGATTTCCGACGCAATTTTAAGTTGGAAAAAAAGCCAAAGTAGGGCGGATCCGGAGTCAGGGATCACAACTTGCCCGGTTGCCACGCTCATGGCCATGAGCACGATCGCCATGGCAATTCCACTGGCCATCGTCGCCGCCGTCGTGGCCACCGTCAGCGTCGCGACCGCCGTCATGCTCATCGTCGCGAACCGCGCTGCAACACCGGCGATCGCCACAGGATTGGACTTGTCCTTGTGTGCGGCAGCGCCGAACTCTCGCACACGACGTCCTCCACAAGACCACCAGGGGTCTGTCCATCGAAATTTCGGGAGGGTGGTAAATAGTCAAAGGTGGCCTACAAATATGGCACAGTATTGCACAAGTTGAACAATGATACCGTCCGAGGAGGAGGAGGAGGAGGAGGAGGAGGAGGGAGGCGGAGGAGGAGGAGGAGGCGGAGAGGAGGAGGAGGGAGAGGAGGAGGAGGAGGAGGAGGAGGAGGAGGAGGAGGAGGGAGGAGCAGGAGGAGGAGGAGGAGGAGGAGGCTTCCAACATGCCTCATGGTGTTTTCTCCTCCGTCGGGAGCGCGGGCGAGCCCCCGCGCTCGAAGCTCCCTGAGCCCGGACCACCGGCGGAGCGGCAGCAGCCGAGCCTGGGGCTCCCAGGGACCTCGGGTCTGAAGGAGGCCCCTGAAATGTCAAAGGATCCCTACACGTGGCCACACAACGGCTCGAGGCCGCCACGTAACCTCCCCAGGAAGCCCCAAAGAGGCCCAAATCGGGAGCGGGCGCGCCCCCGCGCGGGCGAGCCCCCGCGCTCGAAACTCCCTGAGCCTGGACACCAGCGGAGCAGCAGCAGCTGGTAGGGCTCCTGGGGACCTCGGGCCTGAAGGAGGCCCCTGAAATATCAGAGAATCTCTACGCGTCGGTCGGAAGAAGTAGGTAGAAACATGAAGCAGGAAGGCGGATTCAGTTGATTGGGTCCAGGCCCCCCCCCAGGGAAGAACAGAACACGGCAAAAGCGTGTCGATTCTTGAAGTAGGAAGGAGCTTCAAGTAGATTGCAATCTGGGAATCCAAAAATACCTACTTTCAACGACCGGCGTGTACACGTGGCCACACAACGGCTCGAGGCCGCCACGTAACCTCCCCTAGGAAGCCCCAAAGAGGCCCAAATCAAGGATCACACTAGATTTGCTCGACGGGTGCTACTTCCCTCCCTTTCGCTTCCGGTGGGCTTCTCGGGCCTCACGATGGCCCCGTAGGGCCTCAGCAAGAAGCCCAGAAGGGCCCCAAGAGGACCCCCGAAGGTCCGCGGGGACACCCCAAGAGAGTCGCAAGAGGACCCCAAGAGGTGACTGTTCCCGGCACCAGAGCGGCAGCGCTCATCGAGGACCCCTGTGCTTCTCGATGGCCTCACGGACGGCCACCCTAAAAAGGACTCCAATATTGCCTCGAGGCATGGCATCTCCAGGGTGCCTCCAAGAGCAGGGGCTCCCAACTTCGCGCTTCGCGCTGCGCGCAGCGCGAAGTGGGAAGAACTTCGCGCTCTCGCGCCGCCTCCCACGGGAGAAGAGGAGGACGAGGAGGCATCGGAGCCGAAGCGCGAAGCGCGGAGAACTTCGCGCCCTCGAGGGCGCCCTTGCCAAGGTGCCTCCAAGAGGCCTCCAAGAAGCTCCCTGGAGGTCCCGCGTCGGTCATCTCGGGCTCTGCTCGGGCCGATGCCAGGCTTTCGCTCGACTCTGGGGCCCCACCCCCTCTCCCTCCCTCTCTGCCTCTTGAGGCTCGCTCGGCTGGCGGGGATACGCCTGGGGATGCCACGACAGTGGGCACCCCAACAGTCCTATCACCGACTTAAAACTGTGTCGAAGTTGTCGGAAAATGTCCCGAACATGTGCAAAGCATGTGTTTGCATCTGCTTTTAAACCGTTCTAGCACATGTTCTAGACGTCTGGAAATGATTTGGCAGCATGCTTCCTCTCCATTGATCGTCCTCCACAAGGATACGCGAGGCGCCACGACTCGGAACTGCTGTTCGCAGTCAGAGGTAGAACACCCCGCCCATCTGTGCCCTCCCCCCCGGCCCACTGCTCCAACCCAGGAAGCCCTTCAGCTCGCGGTCGTGCCTGGAGCGCAAGGGGTGACGGGAGCGGAGCCCCCCCCGTGCTCCTTACGACCACGCAGCGCACGAATACGATTCTCCGCTCCGCTGCACCTGCAATCCATCGCCTCTTCCTCTTCCCGCACCCCCTCCACCCCCTCCTCCTCCTCCTCCTCCTCCTCCTCCTCCTCCTCCTCCTCCTCCTCCTCCTCCTCCTCTGATTCCCCACATTCCCCCCATTCCCCTCCCTCATCATCCCTCCCGCCGTAGTCCCCCCCGCGGCCCTGATCGCTCAACCTACTCTTTCCTTCGAGCGCAGTCTGCCAGCCTCCCACCCCCTGGCAGACAGGGCGGACTACTCTTTACTGATCTATGACATACCGACGGTCTGCACGCGTCCCCGTAGCCTGCCGGTCGCAGACAAGTCGGTCGACAGAGGCCCATAGCCTTCCGCAGGGAGGCCTGTCGGGGGCCTCGCCTCCACCATTAGCCACGTTTCCCGCCGCGCTCCTTCTCCTGCCCCTCGCCTACGCCCTCCATCCCCATGCAAGCACTCGTCGTTTATCAATGCTCATTCCTCCTCGCCGTGCCGCGTGCCGTGGTGCGGCGTGCCCCCCTGCCTGCACGTCTTGGGGTCCAGCCTTGTTCTGCACACCCGCTTCTTCACGCGAAGCTCGCGCGGCGGGTAAACGAATCTGCTCTGAGCAGGCTGCCCGCCCCTTCCACTGGGCACGGGACACCGAGACTGCGCCGAGCCATGGCGCGGCCACCCGCCAGGACCTCGGCCCCGCGCGGGTCGGCAACCCGCGCGCTCGAGGTCCCGGTGGGGCCCCTGCCGGAAAGACCGCCGCGGGATGCCCCCCATGGCTCGGGGCGCCCAAGTGGGGGCGGCAATGCTGGGCACGATGCCCAGCGGCAGGTGCTGCCCGAGAGCGCCAGCTGCCGCTGCTTGGCGGGCGACGCCTCGTCAACAGCGGGTAGACTGCAGACCCTGCGCGGACTGCTGCTGGTCGTCGTCCCCACTGCCTCTGTCTCCGTTCCCCCTGAGAACCGAACGCCTCCGTTCCTGAGGTCGAAGTTCCAGGCGAGAAATTTGCAGGGTGGAAGGCCAAACAAAATCCCTCCAGGATGGAGGTCGAACCCCTCCGTCCCCAGACCCCCGACGTCATGATTTTTTCATGACGTCGACCCCCCGGGGTCTCGACCCATTCTCCGGGACCGGTTTTTCGTCCCGAGTCGTTTTTTGACTGTCCCCAGGGCCGGTGAGGGCCCCCAAAGGCTAAAAATAGTGACAAACCCTTCCGTCGTGATTTCTTCGCGACGCGAGGGGGTCTGGGTCTCGGATGCCTCAAGTCCTCTGGGTCTGTCCCCCGGGATAACAGGAGGCGGGCGGCAGCGCGCCGACGTCTGGCCGCGGGCTGCATGGCAGTATCCGTTCGACACTCCTCCTAGGGCGAAGGCAGCTTGAAGCAACACGGTTGCGGACGAGGAGCACGCGGAGGAGGAGGAGGAGGAGGAGGAGGAGGAGGAGGACGACGACGATGCGGAGGACGACGAGGAGGAGGAGGAGGAGGACGACGAGGAGGAGGAGGAGGAGGACGAGGGGGACGAGTAGGAGGACGACGAGGCGGAGGAGGAGGACGACGAGGAGGCGGAGGAGAAGGAAGGGGACGAGGAGGAGGAGTAATAGAGGACGAGGGGGGGCCTGCGGTAGATCTCCAGGGACTGGTGCAGCAGGTCGCCGCTCTCGATCGCCTGCCCAACGCTTCGGGCGGCGGAGTGGCACCGGCGGACCGCGGGTGGCGGTGCATGCACCGGGCGGGCAAGCTGGCCACAGGCTGCGGCACGCCAGGAGGAACTCTCTTGCACGAGGCGCGATTCCATGACATCTCCCGTCCGGCTTGCGCTTCCGAGGCCGCAGGCAGATCCAGGGCGACGGAAGAGTGGAGCGAGCGCCACTCCAAGAAGCCTGGGCCAACTTCCGGGCAAACGTCTGCAGGCTTCGCTACCCCTGCTCATGCGCATGCAGCCTCGCTCTGTGCAAGGGGGCGGGTGGAACTGGGGCCGAACGAAAAAAAGAGGTTTCTACAGGAACTGAAGGGCAAGGAGGTCCTTGACTGGTTGAAGAATGATTGAGAGGAACCCCCCCGTCCTCATGATGCAACCTGTGGGGGAACTTTCGAGAAGGACGAGGAAGAGGAGGAGAAGGAGGAGGGACACTAGCCACATATACGAGGGCGGACAAAAGCAATAACGAGGGAAAGCCCGTCCAGGAGAGAAGGGTTGCGAATTTCTCTTGCCCCAGGAGGAGGAGGAGGAGGATGAGGATGAAAAGGAGGAGGAGGAGGAGGAGGAGGAGAAGGAGGAGGGGGAGAAGGAGAAAAAGGAGAAAGAGGAGGAGGAGGAGGAGAAAGAGGAGGAGGAGGAGGAGGAGAAAGGCAAGAGCCTAGAAGAGGAGGAGGAGGAGAAAAAATAGCGCCTTAGGGGTGCGATCGAGAGAAACCGGAGGCTGGCACGCTTCGAAATGGGGCTGAGAACCACGCTTGGCTACACATGGAGGGATTTGAAGGAGCCCCCTCCCTGCTTCCCGCTCTCCTTTTCTCCCCGTCTTCCTCCTCCTCCTCGCCCTCTTCGTCCACTTCCTCCTCCTCCTCCTCCTCCTCCGCCTCCTCCTCGTCCTCCTCGTCCTCCTCGTCCTCCTCCTCATCCTACGCCTCCTCCTCGACTTCCTCGTCCTCTTCGTCCACCTCCTCCTCCCCAACTCCTCGTCCTCGTCCTCGTCGTCGTAGTCGTCGTCGTCCTCCTTCTCCTCCTTTTCCTCCTTTTTTCCTCCTCCTCCTCCTCCTCCTCCTCCTCCTCCTCCTCCTCCTCCCCCCTCTTCCTCCTCCTCCTCTTCCTTCTCCATCTCTGCTCCTTAGAAAGGTCACAATCAGCAGCATCATCATCATCATCATCATCATCATCATCATCATCATCATCATCATCATCATCATCATCATCATCATCATCATCATCCATCATCATCATCATCATCATCATCATCATCATCATCATCATCATCATCATCATCATCATCATCATCATCATCATCCTCATCATCCTCATCATCATCATCCTCATCATCCTCATCATCCTCATCATCATCATCATCATCATCATCATCATCATCATCATCATCATCATCATCATCATCATCATCATCATCAACATCATCATCATCATCATCATCATCATCATCATCATCATCATCTCTATGGTTCCTTGGGCCTGTGTCGCTCTCCAGTCACCAGTGGCCGTCACACCCGCGCGGCGGGGTGCAGACACAACAGGGTGTGCCGGACCGTCGGGCAGCCGTTACGTCTGCAACGCGCGGTTGCGGCTCTCCGCCAGATCCTACGGCATCGGGTGATCAGGTGTATTCACACCACTGCGACCGCAGAACGTCATCACCCTGCTGCACCAGACCTGGTCCTTATGCAACGGCGGTGCCGGCGTTCACGTCCCTCTACATCCTCTTGGGCTTCGTGTGTCCCTCGTGCACTGGCGGCCCGTCGCTGGCAATACATAATCATCCTTGTTGCTTTCAATCAGGCTCGGCCCTACAAAGAGAAGGACTGACGGCGCCTGGGTCTGGCGCCCCCACTGTGCCAGCAGCGTCGTGTGATGTACCTCGTGGCTGCTGGTGCGCAGTCTCCAAGTTGGCACCAGCTCTATGTGTCATAGTCTTGTTAATATTGTGGTGATTCTTCGGGGTGTGTCCCATCGTGGGAGTTTCATCCAACAGCGCTTCATGGGGGGGGGGGCGTTGAGTGCCTGATCGTGGAGTGCTTCGTCGTGGCGTGCCTCATTGCGGCGTGCTTCACCGAGAGAGTTTCGTGGGAGTGCTTTGCTGTTGGGTACCTCACCCTCGCGGGCTGTTCGCGAAGACCACACTTCTTCAACCTGCCCGGGGTGCTCGCAGTGGTCGTGGAGGCTCGGGCACGTCTTCATATCGGTGTTCGGGCCAATGCTGGTTTGGGAATGCCCCACTCACGGAAGTCTTTGCCGTGTGTTCACGGAGGTGTTCCTGGAGGTCTGCTTCACGGTGGTGCGTTGCACGGATGCGGCCTTTCATCATCGAGGTGTGCTTCATCGCCGAAGCGTGCTTCGCGGAAGCGCGTTTCGAGGAGGTGTGCATCATTGTCCGAGCATGCTTCGCGGAGGCGCGCTTCAATATCGAAGTGTGCTTTACGGAGGCGGGCTTCATCATGGAGGCGAGGTGCCCGGCCCTGGCAGGGAGACTCCTTGATACTCCTCCTAGACCTCCCGGACCCCTCCCTCCTCCCTCCTCCCTCCTCCCTCCTCCCTCCTCCTCCTCCTCCTCCTCCTCCTCCTCCTCCTCCTCCTCCTCCTCCTCCTCCTCCTCCTCCTCCTCCTCCTCCTCCTCCTCCTCCTCCCGGACCCCTCCCGGGCTCCATCCTGACCCGGTCTTCGAGGCGGAACCGGCCGTGGCGCGGAGAACCCTGCAGGAAGCCCCCGAGAAGGAGGGCGACCCACCCCAGGTCGGGGGCGGCCAAGAGGGGGGCGTCCAAGAGTGGGGGGTGCAAATCATCCCAGACCCCCTCGAGTTATGAAAAAATCACGACGGCAGGTTTTTCATTATTTTTGCCCTTTGGGGGCCCTTACCGGCCCTCGGGACCGTCAAAAAACGACTCAGGACGAAAAACCGGTCCCGGGGAATGGGTCGAGACCTCGGGGGGCCGACGTCATGAAAAAATCATGACGTCGGGGGTCTGGGATGGCTGGCGGCATGTGCGCGGCCCCAGGGGGGGGGGCCAGGGACACAGTGAGACGAGAAGAGGCGCCGCGAAATCTGGGGAGACATCATGGCCCACGCCACGATCTCCCCCCCCCTCCCTCCCCAGTCAGCACCACCACCCCTCTCTGCCGCCCCCGACCGGGGGAGGGCCGCCGAGGCCCCGCGCCAGGCCCTCCTCCGACATCTCGAGGGAGGGAGGCCCGGACTCCGGATCCGCCCTACCTTTGGGGAAATTCGCAAGTGGGTCTTGGAATCCCACCAGCCCTTTGGGCGTGAGTGGTTCAGAGAGCTCTCTCTGTTCTCAACCCCCCTTCTTCCCCTTCGGGGAGGGGTTTACCCCTCCCCCTACCCCCTCCCCCTGGGCCTGGAGAGGGCGTCCCGCGGGTCGTTGGAGGGGTCTTCGTAAGTGGGTCTTGGAATTTCCGCCTTACTTTTCGAGCCCCGCCGATGCCAATCTCCGCCCTGCTTTTCTGCTGCTGTTTCTGTGGATATCCGCCCTATTTTATGTTGGGTGCAGCAGTTTCCGCCCCACTTTTTCGGCCTCTCATAGGTGGATCTCCGACGCCATTTTAAGTTGGAAAAAAAGCCAAAGTAGGGCGGATCCGGAGTCAGGGGGGTGCCCCCCGCTCCCCGTGCCCCCGGCCCGGCCCGCGGCGTCCTGGACCACGGCGCCGCGCCGCGCGGCGCCCGCGGCGGCGGCGGCGGGGGCCATGGCGGGCGCCAGGGCGAGGATGTCGAGCGCCACGCCCTGGCGGGCGGCGGGCGCAGCGGGACAGCGGGCGGCGGAGGAGGACAGCGAGGCCGCCGGCGGGCGCCCGAAGGCCCGATCGGGGGGGGGGAAGGCTCGTCTGCGCCCCGGTGCCGCGGGCCGAAGCCTCTCGGCACGGCGGCTCCCCTGCCCCCCCCGCCTCCTCCTCCTCCTCCTCCTCCTCCTCCTCCTCCTCCTCCTCCTCCTCCCCTCCTCCTCTCTCCTCCTCCTGCTCCTGCTCCTCCTCCTCCTCCTCCTCCTCCTCCTCCTCCTCCTCCTCCTCCTCCTCCTCCTCCTCCTCTTCCTCTCCCCTGCCCCCCCCCCCCGCCTCCTGCCGGAGAGGCAGGAGGCCCAGACCCCCGACGGCATGATGTTTTCATGGCGTCGACCCCCCGAGGGCTCGACCCATTCCCTGGGACCGGTTGTTCGTCCTGAGTCGTGTTTTCACGGTCCCGGGGGCTGGTGAGGGCCCCCAGAGGCCAAAAATAATGAAAGACCTCCCGCCGTGATTTTTTCCTAACTCGAGGGGGTCTGGGGGGGGGGAGCCCTCCTCCTGCCCCCTGCTCCCCGTCTCCCCCCTCCCCTTCCCCCCCGCCGGCCGGAGAGGCGGGAGGGGGGGAGCCCGCGGCGCCGAGAGAGGGTGCGGCAGGTGCCCGGGCCCGCGTGGGAGCAGGAGAGGGGCACCGTCTGCAGGGGCAGGCCAGCGCAGCTCACCCAAGAGAGCTCCTCCCTCCTCCTCCTCCTCCTCCTCCTCCTCCTCCTCCTCCTCCTCCTCCACAAACGAGAGGTCCAGGCCGTCAGGGACTTTTTGCCGTGAAGGCATCCATCTCATTCGATGCTGTGTCTGTTGGCTCGCGCCCGTGCCGTTCGCACCACGGGCCGATATCGAAGAAGCAGGGATCGCGACGGGGGAGGGGGAGGGGGAGGGGGAGGGGGAGGGGGGGGGGAGGATGAGGATGGGATGGGGATGAGGATGAGATGATGAGGATGATGAGGATGGATGAGGGATGATTGATGATGATGATGATGATGATGATGATGTGATGATGATGATTGATGATGATGAGGAGGAGGAGGAGAGGAGGAGGAGGAGGAGGAGGAGGGACTTTTTTGCCGCGAAGACATCCATCTCATTCGATGCTGCGTCTGTTGGCGGCTCGCGCCCGTGCCGTTCGCAAAACGGGCCGATCGGAGAAACAGAGATCGCGACGGGGGAGGGAAGGGGGAGGAGGAGGAGGAGGAGGAGGAGGAGGGAGGAGGAGGAGGAAGGAGGAACGAGGACAAGGACGAGAGCGAGGAGGAGGAGGAGGAGGAGGAGGAGGAGGAGGAGGAGGAGGAGGGAAAGGACACCACAAGCGCGGCAAGGTGGCCGCACCTTGGTGGCCGCGGCAAGATGGCCGAAGTAGGTCCGCACGTAGGTGGCCTACAGCTCGTCGGATAGTAACTCTTCGACGCTCTGACGATGGGCCACCAGCACCAGGGGCCAGCGATACCCCCAAGAGGCCCCTCGGGGCCCCCAAGGCGCCGCCGAGGAGCCCCAAGAGACTCCCAAGAGGCCCCCCAGAGGCCCTCAAGAGGGCTCCAGGGCCGGCGGAACGAGCGAGGCGATTCAGTAACTCTTCGACGCTCTGACGGTGGGCCACCAGCACCAGGGGCCGGCGATAGAGCGCACGCACGAAAGGAAATGCCAAAGGTGGGCAGCTTGGGCACGACCCCCACGACATATTCCAAGTGGCAAGCCTCGAGCGGGATACTCAAGTGCTTCCCGATGGCGCGCCACATTGGATTTGGAAAGGGTGACAGGAGAGTGAACTAGGGTCCGCACAGGAAGAAGTTACAGCTGTCCAATCACGGCGCTGACCCGACGGAGGAGGAAGAGGAGGAACCTTCCAGGTTTCCAGCACGACAGCCAGCGCCGCCTTGACGCGACGGCAAAAGCTTGAAGATTGGCAGAGCTCTCGGATCAGCACCGTCTGGAAGGTGTCTCAACAACTACGTCCGAGGGAGGTGGACGTGCCGCGGCCGGGGAACACGCACTCCGCGGGCGCCGCGGCAGGGCGCCACGCACGCCGACCCCTGCCCCGCACCACCGCGACGGGGTGGCTGCCCCGGGCGCCGTGCAGCCCCCCGCTTGGCTTTGGCCTCCACCCAGTGGAATCGCCCCATGCCCGGTTTAGGGTTTAGGGTTTTAGGGTTTTAGGGTTTAGGGTTTAGGGTTTAGGGTTTAGGGTTTTAGCTCGCAACACGTCGCCGCGTCCCTACCGCGACCCGGTCGCCGTAGCCGCAGCACCCTCGAGCATGGCCTTTGCCGGGCGGCCACGAGAGCACCAGAGCTCCCCGCTGCGGTGGGCCACACAGCCCACGCCGTGAAGCAAGGCGCACGACCCTGGGGGGACCAAAAGTGGCACAAACAGAAAAACTCGGAGGTCCGCGCGGATTTCTCGGATCCGCGCTGGACCCCCCTCCCTGGCGCGCGGAGCGCGCCAGGGGCGGCGCCGGAGGCGCCGCCAGGGGGCCCCGGCGCCGCTCCGAGAAATCCGCGCGGACCTCCGAGTTCTTATGTTTCTGTCATTGCTCGTTCCCCCAACGTCGTGAAGCAAGGCGCACGACCCAGCCCCCAGGCACGGCAGGCGCCGAAGGGTGGCGGCCCAGGCGTGCTCCGCGGCCCCACCCCAGACCCCCGACGTCATGATTTTTTCATGACGTCGACCCCCCGAGGTCTCGACCCATTCCCCGGGACCGGTTCTTCGTCCTGAGTCGTTTTCTGACGCTCCCGAGGGCCGGCAAGGGCCCCCAGAGGCCAAAAATGGTGAAAAACCTCCCGTCGTGATTTTTTCATAACTCGAGGGGCTCTGGGCTCAGAGGAGGCTGCTGAGAGGCCTGCAAGGGGCCACACCGCGCCCGGCGCGGTGTGGCCCCCGCGCGCTCCGCGCGGTGCGTCTCGCGCCGCCCGCCGCGGCCCAGGGGCCAGGCCGCGCGCCAACACCAGATAGCACGCCAGAGCACCTCCTCCTCCTCCTCCTCCTCCTCCTCCACCTCCTCCTCCTCCCCCTCCTCCACCTCCTCCTCCTCGTCCCTCCTCCTCCTCCTCCTCCTCTCCTCCTCCTCTCCTCCTCGTCCTCCTCCGCCTCCTCCTCCCCCTCCTCATCCTTCTGGCGCGTCGCCGAAGATCGCCACGCGGTTTAGTCGCCCGCGCGTGCTACGCGGAGACGCCCCAACCCAACCCGACGACACGAACTTGACCCGAATTTCGGGTTGGGGGGGGGGGGTACGGGGCCCACGTGTTTTTTCACATGTTCCCCGACCCCCCCCCTGCTGGAAAGAGAGGGCAAGTTGAGGCCTTCGGGTTGGGTTGGGATGGCTTGGTGAGTGGTGACGCATGGGATACCCGCCAGCGCGCCAGCGCCGTCGCATCCACGGCAGCGCGCCATTGGGATTCCAGCCGCTCCCAGCCAGAGGTTGCGCCGCACCTGCTGCGACGCCTCGCGCCGCCACCGCCGCGCTTCTCTGCGTGAGATGCCTCCACATCAGCGCCCGAGAGGAAACCCGCACGCTGCAAGCCGCGTAACGCATCTGACAGCGCAACAGTGATGCCAGCGCGCTGCCAGCAGCCACCATTGCACAACAACAATGGCCGCTGTGAAACAGATTCGGGCCAATTCCAGATCCAAACCAACACGCCCTGAGTGAAGGCGTCAGCGAAAGACAGCACGATCAGCGGACAGCATTAAACGCAACAGCATGCATGCATAAACAAACCAGCGCGCTGTGCAACAATATGTGTGTGTTGTGTGGCATTCTCCAATGCACAATGAAGAAACAGATGACCACCCCCGCACACAGACGGGATGCCAAGGGGCAGTCCGTGGCTCTAAGTCTCAGCACGCTTCTTAAACACACGTCAGCACATCTGTATACATACACACATAGGTATATATCCAACCATAGGTATCCACAGGCATACATGCATACATGCATATATACATACGTACGTACATACATACATTCATACCTACCTACCTACATACGTACCTACATACGTACCTACGTACATACGTACATACATACATACGTGCATACTTACATACGTACATACGTGCATACATACATACGTACATCCATCCATCCATCCATCCATCCATCCATCCATCCATCCATCCATACATACATACATACATACATACATACATGCATACAATCATACATACATACATACATTCATCCGTTCATCTATTGAAAAATTACCGATACACGGCACATGCTCACAACAACGCATCCCCCTTGCTTCGGGTGGTAGTGGTAACAGGGGCCTCCCCCCAGGCCACCTCCCACGGCTCCAGGGCAGGGTCCGTGCTGGGCCGGTCATCCGAGATCTGCCGACGGTCCAAGACAAGTCTGCGCGTCCAGATGTGTCCCAGGAGCGCCCTGAAGGGCCTCCAGAGATCTACAGGAGGCCCAAGACGACCCCGAGGCTTCCCCAGATGGCCCCAAGATCCTCCCCAGACGGTCCGACGACCCCCTGAGGGCCTTTCCGACGGACAATCAGCTCAACACCTTGTAAGGTGTTGGGCCAGAGAAGGCGAAGAAGGAGGATGGGGAGGGTAGCGGAACGAGCTTGCGAAACGCAGCCATGCCAGGAGAATGCCAACAGCGGGCGGGTCGGGGAGGGGAGGAGGACCAGGAGGATCAGCAGGCCAAGCAGGAGGCAGAACACGAGGGGAAGGACGAGGAGTACAAGGACGAGGGAGAGAACGAAAATAATGAGCGGCAGGGGTATACCACAGCGTCTTACGGTCGGGAAGTCCCACCAGCCCTTTAGGGCGTAGGTGGTCTAGGGAGTTTCCTCTGCCAACCCCCTTCTTCCCCTTCGGGGAGGGGTTTACCCCTCCCCTTACCCCTCCCCACTGACCTGGACGGGGCCGGTCGCGAGGTGTCAGAGCGTCCAAGATGGCCCAAGACAGCTCCAAGAGCGAACAGGCGAGAAAACACAAACATTGATT